CCATCCCTGCCCAACCCTCGGCCCCCCACCTCGAACCTCCATGCAATGAGCTTCCAACTCAGAGCCACGACTGCCCTCCACGCTGCCCCCAGACTCCTCAGTCAGCGTCCCCCCACCCCTTGGTGCTCCCCTTCCCATAGTTAAGCACTGGATGTCCCCTGATCCCAGCTGGGACCCCCTTCACTCATCCTATTCCCAGGGGGGGTCCACGGGGAAGGGACTTACGTCAACTGCAGAGGGAAGTGGGATTCCCTCCACACTCAGCCCTTTCTTCTACTCGGCCCAGCTCCGCACGCCCCCTCCACCCCCAGGTCCCCAAGCTCACCTTGCCAGGGCAGATGGTTTGGGGGACCGAGATGTGGGGGTGAATCAGGATCCTAATGGTGCTGCCCCTATTTATACCTGTGTTACAAGGGAAAATCTCCCCTGTGGTGTAGTTAACCTGCTTCCCCGTTCAGGAAGGCTGGGAGAAGGTGAGATTCCACAAGTCCCCTGCCCTCGTCCCACCCCACTCCCGGGCCATTGGGTATAATTGGCTTCTCAAGTCTGAGAATAAACCAATGAACTGTGTCCCTGTCTCTGTCTTTCATCTCGTTCTGGCCAATCTCTTGGGGTCTGACTACTACTATTTTTTTTTTTTTTTTTTTTTTTTTTTTTTTTTTTTTTTATCTTCACCATTCTGACTGAGTTAGGTGCTATCTTATTGTCGTTTTGATCTACATCTTACCTAGGATGAGGGATGTTGCGCATGTTTTCAAATCCTTTCTGGCTGTTTGTATGTCTGACTTAGAGAGTTGTTTTTTCTGCGAGTCCAGGACTTGAACAGCGGTTGACTACGTGAGAATCCAGTGATATAACCATTATGCCATCGGCTGGGCCCACACCTGCCTTCATTCAAGAACTGTCTCTGGGGATCCAGTGACAACTGGTCTCACTGGATGTTGGGAGCTGGTTTTTCACTCTCAGGCCAGCCTACAGACTGCTTAGAGCAGCCGGAGTTGAGTTTTGGGATGGTTGGAGGTTGGGGGTTAGGGGCTGGGTGAGTTATGCTAAAAATGAATGAAGATGAATGGGGATTGGTTTGAGTGGGTCGAGTGGGGTTCCCACGGTTGTGGGTTAACCACTGGAGCCAGACGCTGCCCAGGTGGGGTTAAGAGTTTGGACTTGCCTTTTGGGTTGAATTACACTAAGGTTGTTTACACTGCAGGGGCAGGTGGGGATGGCTGCGAGTCAAGACTGGGTTGGGTAAGAGGAGATTGGGTCTGGGACCAGCAGATGGGCATGATGGTTACATGGCTGGACTCCACATGGTTGGCCGCAGTTGGAGTCCTGGACCCCGTGACTTAAAACTCATGCTGGGAGACCAGTAGTTGGCGTCATAGCTATGTCGCTAGACTCCCATATAGTAGACCGCGGTTCGAGTCCCAGACCCAGTGGCTTAATCTCACGCCAGGCATGTGTGGGTGCGTGCCCAAGATCCCGAGAGGAGAACGGAGAAGAAGGGATTGCGGCATGGCCATCTCCCCAGGGGTGCCTTCTTGCTTTCTGTCTGTCTCTGTCTTTCTGGTGCACCCTATAGCACAAACCTCTCAAAAATAAATAAATAAAATAATTACCAGGCAATTACTGCCCACTTCCAACAACAACAACATAAAACTCACACTGGGCACATATGTGTACGTGCCCAAGACCCCAGGAGGAGAATGGAGGAGAAAGGACTGTGGTATGGCCAACTGCTCTGAGAGAGGATTTCTCACTTTCCTTCTCACTGTCTCTGTCTCTCTCTCCCCGGCAAGTGTACATGCCCTAAGGCAAAAGCCTCTAAAATAAATAAGTAAGTAAATAAACCTTTTTAAGAAAAGATTTTTAAGGAAAAACTTATATTCTTTGGGGGCCAGCAGGTGGTGTGGTGGTTAAGACGCTGGACTCCCACGTGGGCATCTGCAGTTTGAGTCCTAGCCCTGGCAGCTTGCTTTCTCACCTTCCCTCTCTCTGTCTCTGTCTCTGTCTCTGGTAGGCACATGTATCCTATAGCATACTTAAAATAATAATAATAAATTAAATAAACAAA